CACACACACACACACACACACACACACACACACACACACACACACACACACGCACACACTGATATTTTTTCATAAAAAGGAAAGGGTCAGTGAAAATGAAGGGTCTAATTTATTTTGAAGTCGTTTCGAGAGAAAAAACGAAACAAAAACTAAACAAGATATCAATTTGACTTATCCATGAAAACTACCAAGTTTGCATAATTTGGAAAGGCCTTAACTCAGATTTAAAACCATCCAGTTTTTTATCTTCACTTAGATGCTGTGTTATGTACTGTCTTCTGGCTTATGTCGGTTTACTAAAAGCTCTGTTTTAAAAACAAAAACAAAATGTGACTTGGACACTTTATTTCTCTGAATACTTCTATTATTTTCCCACACCCCCTGGCCAGGAGTGTTGATCTAATTTGTGTCAATATTAGTTTTAAAACATCTGCTTTAATTTAAAACAAAACAAAACACCACCACCACCACCAATAGTAACAACAACAACAACACACCAACAACAACAATAACACGCCACCACCACCACCACCAACAACAACAACACACCACCACGACCACCACCAACAACAAAACATCACCACCACCAGCACCACAACCATCAACAACAAAAGTGACCAGAAGTACATATTAATATTATTATATTATATTTTCCACAGAGTGACCGCCTACATGGCCTTCCTGGAACGTTGTGAGCCCAAAGCCGGAGAAATAGTTGTGGTCAGTGCAGCGTCCGGAGCTGTGGGCAGTATGGTGGGGCAGCTCGCCTTCGACAAGGTAAGCTCAGGGTTCGGATCCTTTCATGGTGTCTAAAATGCGTTATACATCTGCTATCATAATACAGTCAAATAAGGTAGGCTATGCATATCCCATTATGAATTAGAGCACTTTGAATAAGAGAGAATAAGAAATAAAGATAGCATTTTATGAAGTATGTTTTTGATAAATAGATTCGACATTTTTGTTTCCTGCGGCTACTATGGTAGTTAACTGGAGGTTTATCTTTCCAGTCATCCATCATCACCACAGAAAAAACAAGTGAAAAAAAACACACAATAAACCAGAAAGCAAATCAGCAACGAAGAAAGAAATAAGTGCACATGTAAAAAAATTCCCATCAAAGAAGACGATGTCGAAAGGAACAAATTCACGAGAAAAAGACTTACTGAACAAAAACATACAACCCCCCCCCCCAAAAAAAAAAACCCTCCAAAAAATAAAAGAAACATGTCGAATAACGAATAACTAAAATAAAAATAAGAAATATTTAAACTAATAAACGGTTAAAGAAAATAGAAGAAAGATATATGAAACCCAAGCAGTTGTTTCGACGTCCTTTTCTATTTTTATTTCAAAATTTTCAGGGCTGCACTGTGATTGGCTCCGCTGGCTCCAAGTCGAAATGTGATTGGTTGAAGCGGCTGGGCTTCCATCACGTGTTCAACTACAAGGAGGTTTCACCAGCAGACGCTCTGAAGAAATTCGCCCCAGAGGGTGTGGATATCTACTATGACAACGTGAGTACTGTGTGTTTAGGGGGGGGGGGATGAACGAGTCCTAATTTAACCCACCCCCCCTCAAAAAAAAAACAACAAAAGAAAAATGTACAACAAAACAAAAAATCAACAACAACAAACACAAAAAAAAGCAACACAAACTGGAAGGCGCAGGGAGATTTGGTAGGGGGAGGGGGGGGGGTGATGGGAAGTGGTTCTTTATACGTTTATCTTGGACAGGTGTCAGGTGACCATTAGAACGTGTTTGCTTGACTGTCTTTTGAACAATGTTGACTCTATCACTCCTATGACCTTTTCCCTTCTCTTCAACATATTGTATATTATATATATTTTTCCCCCCGTCTGTTTCAGGTAAGGGGGTGAGTTCACTAACGCTGTTCTGGACAACCTCCGCCCAGGGGCACGTGTGCTCATCTGTGGTCAAATTGCTGACTACAACACCCCCAGAGACGAAGGTGAGGAGATGGTTGTGGGATCAGGGTGTGGTTGTCATTTCTCTATGTGGAATTGTAAAGTGTGCGGACAAAATGAGTTACTTCTTGGATTCAAGCCTTGTGGAAATAGAAACATCATGCTTATAAGTGAAGTTTTACTATTTATAAGTATGAAATAATAAGAGACATGCTATACATAAAAATAGAGCATCAAGAGAAGATCTACTAATTTGACCTTGGTGTTAAGTGTTTGCCAATATCTCCATTTGTGGATTGCGAAAAGTAACTCAGTTCGTCAGCACGCCACACAATTGAT